TGCTCAAGTCACACACTAGCACCACAGACCAACATTTTTTTTATACTATTTAAATATACTTGGTAAATACATTTTAGTACTAGGTTTGTTGTATAAACGATATGTTTTTTTATTGTAAATTTCGTTGGTGAGGATGTTATTACAGTAGTCCGTCAGTTAACAGTGACATCTGTTCACGGTTTTTCGGTGAACGTTTCACCTTCCATAGGACCCCATAGTTTCAACTATACCGTTAATTTTATCAAGTCGACTAACGTTAATATGTCAAACTAACGTTTACAAGTTGACTAACAGCATGTCAACTCACACTAGCAAATCGAATCACGTTAACATGTCGACTCACGTTAACATGTCGACTAACGTTAACATGTCTGACTAACGTGAAAAGTTGACTAACGTTAGCATATTAATGTTAACATGTCGACTAACGTTAACATATTCTTAGTTTTTTCGGTAAAGTCACGTTGAAGAGAAACAACAAAATAATAAAATATATATAAAACAATAAAAATTCGCACGACGTTTCGACCATAACTCAAACGGTCATCTTCAGGTGTGTTGGTTTGTTGTTTCTCTTCAACGTGACTTTACCGAAAAAACTAAGAATATGAATTACTGCAGTCACGAAAGCTTTAAATCAAAATTTTACGTTAACATGTCGACTAACATTAACAAGTTGACTAACGTTCGCATGTCAACTCACGGTAGCGTACTCTTTGGTTTTTTCGCTTAAGTCACGGTAGCGTGTTCATGTTGTGCACGTGGTGACGCTAATTTCGTCCAATACCAGCACTCGTAAGTGTGGACTGAGCCACGCCCTCAGCCATCAGCAACGCCCATTCATGAGCCGTTTAGTCCTCCACTGCCTTTGTTCACACATCATACCGTTATGTTTTGGGCTGTGGAAAGAGCTCTTTCTCGCTGTCTCCGATGAAGTTATTTCGGTGAACAGTAGTTTTCGTGGATCGGATTAAAACGTTAACCGAAGGACTACTGCGCATATATGTTTTAAATTTTTCCGCAGACCCTCCTCACGAATTGTGAGAATAGCATCACGGGGACTTTGGTTTGGCTGCGCGTTCCCACTCGTAGGCACTTTTTGGAATTCATTTTTAAATGTTCTTTATTTAATTTGTAACAATAGGTTTTTTTTAATCCTGGACAAAGAACGCCGTGACGAATCAGCGTTCCACGGGGTTGCGGCGCTAAACGAGGGCTGCATGGAGAGTAAAATCAATTTACAGATACGTCAACATATATCTGGCGATTATTGCACTGGTATGTCAAGAGACAGGGATATTTGGAAAATACAACTGCCAAGCGGTGTTGTAGAGAATTGGCGGATTGGCCAAGACACGTGATACCGGTATATTTATCTGGAAGTTACAATTAGAGTTTAGTTTCTATGGGAAGAGGTGGCACAATGGTTAGCAGTGGTAAATTGAATACAGTGTAGCACGTTCAGTGGCTGCATCAATCGCATGAACCAGTTACGTAAACAATACGCAAACGAATTGGACAACAAACATGATTCTTGCATGTATAATTCCATGCATGTGTGTCTTAAGCATAAGAATACATATATAATCATTACGCTTGTTCACCAGAAAAGCCTGAGGATCATGCCTGCCAAGTGTACTCATTAGGGGTCGATGATTGTAATGTACTGCACCGTGTCAGGCGAATGATGTGAATGGCTGAATTGACGTATCCCTACGCCCAAGGGCAATAAAGTACAGTCTTTTTCTTTCTTTCGTATGGCTGCTGATGTTGATGTAGCACAACGACTGCAATTTTATATTCAGATGGTCAAGCCAGATAACGGCGTCAGGAGCTAGCGGAGTGTATCGTCGTCGCTGTGATGTATCCTTGGTATTTGTGGATCGGAGCATTGCGTCGTTATATGCTATACGTCTGTTCTGGATGACCACAGTCACACGCTACTGGAGAGTTTTACATTTTCAATTTGTGCGTCATCAGGTATCTGCACCTGCAGCTAAGGTGTGTGCAGTGGATGCGGTTTAGGGTGGACCATGAGCTTCGTGGAAGATCAAACAAAGGGATCTTCTGCGTTGGGTCATTCACAGGCCTGAGTACCATACCACGCCTGCCAAGAGTACACAATAGGGGGGGTGATGATTGTACTGCACAGTATCAGGCAAATTACACTATGTAACAAAAAATTTGTTCCTGGGTAGTAAGTGTTGTTTCCTAATTGCTTATGCCTAAAAGTATGGAAAATGGCTATGCTTTCCCCACAAACTTTGCTTTTTTGACCAGGACATTGATATTTTGAAATGAACCTATTTTCAATGAGAAAACGGGCGAATGTGTGTCTTTTCGTTGACAAAGTCAGAAAAAAACAACATATGAATCAAAATTACAATATATTTATACTAAAGTAATAAAAAATGACGACAAAAGATTTAGTAGTGAGTAGTTTTTCGAGATTTACGATTATACTGTAAATCACTTTCATGAATCAGCCCCCAAATGTAGTCTCCCATCATGTTCTTGTTATACTGCCCTTGGTAGCGGCGTTCAAAGGCCAGTATATCCTGGTAGAAGAACTCGCCTTGCTCTCTCGAGTACGCTCCCATGTTCTCCTTGAATTTATCAAGATGAGCATCAAGAATATAGACTTTGAGGGAGAAAGCCTCGACACAGAGGCGTTGTTTCTCTGTGTGCATATGTGTGTCTCTCTCTCTCTCTATGTGTCTCTGTTATCTCTTTCTGCTTATGTGTCTGTCTATGTGTCTTCGTGTCTGTGTTTTGTCTCTCTCTCAAATTTAGCAATCTTTGGATGAACGTAATCAACCAGGTAGGGTGTTGACTGTTATGTTAGCCGACTCTCTGTGTTGTATTGTATTATATTTCTAAGTTTACTAGGTTTGTTTTCTCTTTCATTTGCACCTGATGCTGATTGCTTGTGTTGCAATCGAAACGTCGTATGCAATTATTTTTTTTCTACGTGACTTTACCGAAAGAACCAAAGAGTAATCCAACAAATACTTTAGAACGTAAGACTACTGCGATCATTGCAAATTCATGAATCCCCAAGACTGAGCAATACCAAATTAAACCAAGGGTCTCAAAACCACCTAGACAGTATGGGCTACCAAAGATTCATAAAATCGGCATCCCATTACGACCCATAGTACAATTGGCTCTGCTACATATAAATTAGCAATATATATTTCTAAACAAATACAGCCCTACATCGGTAGGACATCTTCATTCATAATACATTCAGAACATCTTGTGAATGTGATTAAATATATTAAACTTAACCCTAACTATATTCTGGTGAGTTTTTATGTGATTTCATTCACTAAGGTTCCAGTTAATGAGTCGCTAAAATTACTTGATACACTAGTAAAGAATACAGGTTTACCAAAAGATATTCCAAAATTAGCTGACCATTGTTTAAATAACACTTCTTATGGATAGGTGATTTCTATAAACAAAAGGAAGGAGCAGCAATGGGCTCTCCTTTATCTTCTGCTATAGCAAATCTGTACATGAAAAACTTTTAAACAAAGCAGTGCCTCAAGTACATTAAAACCATATTTTTGGTTTAGATATGTTGATGATACTTTGGTTGTCTAGCCAAATGGTAAAGATACACTTAATTCGTTTCTAAATAATCTCAATGCACAAAACCCGGCCATCCAGTTCACCATGGAAACAGAGGTGAATAACACACTCCCTTTTCTAGATATTTTGCTTGGACATGGCCTAAATGGCAAAATATTTTGCAAAAGCAAAACATTAAAGTAAGATTTGGTGGAGTATGCAAAATTCAAAAACTAATATCTTGTACTAAAGACGAATTACCTAAATTATCAACAGGTGTATATCGGATTAATTGCATATATGGTAGATGCTATATTCGACAAACGGGATGTAACATCAGCGTAAGACTAAAAGAACACCGAATACACATTAAATTATCTCAAACACAACTGTCGGCAGTGGCAGAACATGCTTGCCAACAAGACCATTCAATTGATTTTGATAACGTTTAAGTGTTGTGTAAAACTAATTATTACTGGCCAAGACTAATTCGAGAATCCGTTGAAATTAAGAGAAATACAAATAACTTTAATCGCTCTGACAGCTACAGTTTAGTGCGGCCTGGAAGCATATTATTAAATAATAAAAATACATTTTACAAATCCTTATAGGGGAAACACATACTAATTAACTGATTAATAACGAGGTATATAATTACAATAATCCCCCCCTCCGCTTCCTCTGATTTCTGCACCTGATTTGGTATAGTGATTGGGTTCGGTTATTAAATAATACACATTACAACGAATTACTAATCTACGACTGATTACTAATCTACAACTGATTACTAATCATAACAATTAACTGATTACTAATCTACTATATAATTACAATACCCCCCCCCCCTCTCCGCCTCTGATCTCTGCACCTGATTCGGTTAAATGATGACGTCACCCTGCTGCTCTATTTAAGACCGGGAGCAGGTGGACGGCTTCACTATTCTGGCAATTTGCCCGATGATGCTGGATGTAATTACAAGCGAAACGTCGTGCTCAAAATTGTAAATGTTGTGGATTCACTCAACACACCGGTGGACTAAAGTAGTGAACTATTTGTCTTTTGTCAACGTGACACATTTTTTACTGATTGGCCATGTCGGGTGGTGGAGGGTTGCGACACATTTATAAATAACGTGGTCTAACAAAAAAAATCTTTATTATGAATATTGGTCGCGAAAGCTTACATGTTAAACTCTCCACTAAGTGGTAATAATTTATTGACTCCTGGAATGAGAATATGCCGAGAAAGCCACTTGCAAGCCGCTTGCGCTTTTGCTGTGCCACCTCGCCATAGAAGAGTAGAAGAATGCCTTCAGTGGAATGGCTGTGGATAGTATTTGTATTTTACTGTGACGCACCACCACCATTACTACAACCGTTGTGGCTAATTATGCTGTTTAATATTTTTGGGATTTTATTTTTCAGATAGAGTGGACAAAAGTGTGTATTCGACCTGCAGGAGTTACGATTCAAAAGATTCGTACCCTACTCCACTCCCTGCCAAGTACCCATCGCAACATCTGAAACTTGGGGCACGTCAAAGACAGACTTATAAGTGTGCAGCGCCCTTCATAGAGCAGGGTGCGATACAGCCTTGCAATAAACTCTCAGCGTTCTGACGATCAAGGACGTTGACTGGAACACAGCTATTGATCAAGCTGGCGATGACAACCTGATGACAGCCCCAACCAAGAATCGTAACGAAATTGACGGCAATCCGGCACGCGGTCAGACAAGGACACGAAGAACGAATTTCACAAAGTCGGGGAAAGCCCCAAGAACAATCCCAGATACTCAAATATCACCCGTTGTTGATAATGTATTTAACCAACCACAATCCTGAAAGGAGCTAAACGAGCACCAACGAATCTCAAAGAATCTGGCAACAGCCAACCAGGAACAACGCGAGCTCAAAGAACACAAATTGACAACCTCACAACATCAATTCAATAGCAATAGCTCAGGACCAATCGATCCTTTTATTCTGATTTAAAAAATCAACACAAAAACACATCTATCAATGACAATCTAGGAACAGTCTAATGTCAACTACAATAATATTCTGACCAGAAGAACCACTGAACAATCATAGAACGCAAACATTTTCATCACTGACACTATTAACAGCCCAGGAGTTACAAATAACTCACAGACCACCCGCAGCGCATGGTTATCTGATGACAACATCAATTAGCACGTACAAACAATACGGAGCAATCTGACGGCGTTTCTAAATCCCCACCACCATCACTAACGACTATCCAAAAAGTATCCAACAAAAAAACCAGCCTAACGGTAGACCACCCATCATTCGTCATATTACAAGGAGCGATATTACCAGACTACACAACCAGAGACCAACCAACCCCCCCCCCCCCCTCAAAATCTGTACAACCTGAGCAGCAGCAACAGCGAGAGGTATCATTTCTGGCTGCAGCTGTCAAAATGGCGATTCACGTGGCTGGTCTGGTAGCCATTATCCTCTTCTATGGCATTATCCTGGCCGTGGGGATCTGGGCCGCATGCCGAACCAAGAACGTCGGCGTGGGCGAGGGGATGGAGCGCAGCGAGGCCATCATGGTGGGCGGCAGAGACATCGGCCTGCTCGTCGGCGTGTTCACGATGACAGGTGCGTGTCGAGCGAACCCAATTCAACAATCGTCCCCCCCCCATCCCGCCTTCCCCCATTAACTCTTTCTCTACAGCTTAAATGCCTCCATACAATAATTAATCGGATGAGAGCGCAGGTTTCGCAAGTAGAATAAGACGAGTCATCATCACTCTGAGCAATGATCTATTTGCTGCTAGATAAAGGAATCGCTAACGTCACCATCGCACCATCATCCCACAATTAATTTATTTATCTCGCTGCTTCACGCAAAGCTGATCCTTTCATTCCATGTCTTTGGTGGACATCTGTGTTCCCGCCTTTGGCTGCGATTCCATCAATAGTCTCGACCATTGACCATAATTCCAACTTGTGATATGTCCTGCCGAGCACATTACTTTTTCTTAACAGTCGATAAGATGTCCTATCTCTAATGCCCTCGTTAATCCATGTTTCTTTTGTTATTATACATATATATCATGGACTATAAAACGTTGCACAGTCAGAAATATGCATTTGAAGGTAGCAGTGTATCTGCAAGTCACCAACTCACAGATTAAACACAATATCGGTTTTTTGGGGTAATATCGCGTTAATATAAGTATCAGAAATGTGGTAAGTGGGAGAGTGGATTAGGGGAGTGATTGGGCGAGTGAGTAGGTGAGACATTTGCTCTGACCTGGAGTATGGTGGTTGAGTGAGTGGATGTGGGAGTGTGTAGGTAGTGGGTGAGTGTGTGAGTGTGTTGTTGTGGCCTGCAGTGAGGTGGTTGAACACAGCGTAGGTAAGATGAAACAGCGTCTGGTTGACCGAGTCCTCAACGGGGATGGAGGAATCACTAAGTGAAGTTCACTGCAATGGTAATCGTGGTGGTAGAAGAGTTATAAAGGAAGTGGACGTCCGGTGAGCGAGTGATGGTGTAACACCAGCTGACATGAAATTGCGTGAAGCAGCACCGCCAGCATTGTTGTATCATTGTGTGCACAGCGACGTGGGTGGGAGGTGGATACATCAACGGGACGGCAGAGGCGATCTACCTGCCCAGCTCTGGGCTCGCGTGGGCACAAGCTCCCTTCGGATACGCCATGAGTCTCGTTCTTGGTAGGAGTCGCCAGTTATAAAGGGTATAGAGTCACCACCTTTTCCACAGGACCGAGCTTTAATATGTTTCTAGTCGTCCTGTGTCTATTAAAGCTGCGCAGTATCCTGTAATGAAATCCAACACAATAATACCAGTACCAGATGTCAGTACAAATCAAACCTGTCACCTGAACACAGGTGCCAAATCCTGGACAATTCGTATCACTATTGGACAGGTGGCAACCTTCTCTAAGGCTGATGTTTGTCTGCCAACCATCCAGACGACAGCACGACCTGGCTAATCATAGGCGGTGGGTAGTGATAGCCAACAGAGCTTAGCCCTCTCAATCTTAATAACCGACTAGTGTTATTCAAACACAGACCTACACGGTAGTAAAAAAAGAACCTCACAATGCCAGACTTGGCAAGAGAGCGCAAGGTCACCGCGAGCAGAGCAGTCAGTGAGATGGTGACCATAGGTGCGTCAGTCCACCGCACGGCATTCTCGTGGCAACTTTGTGCTCTCTCGTTTTTGAACACTTTATTTACAACAATTCATAAAAATAATGTTTAATATGAAACAATATTCAAGGTCCCGCAAAGAACGTAAGTTTATTTTCACCGGCCACCTTTTTTCGATAACAGACTTTACAGACAGATATAATGCAACATTTTGGGTAACCTGTATACTGTATATGCATCCTTCACATGTTGCTTTTTCCACATAACAACGTAAAGCATGTCTGAAAATGTCCAATCGGCTACACGGACTTCTGGGGATACATTTTCTATTCAGAAGCATTGATTTCATACAAGCAAACTATGGACCGGTTTCGACATTCAGTTATGTTTGCTTGACCCAATGCTGGTGAACTGCCAGATATTTATAGGCTAAGAACCTATCTATTGGATGTGGGTCCACAAGTGTTCTTGTGTTAAACACATGCTTTTTAAGAATTAACTCGCAGAAGGCCATGTGGCTGTTGTGATGTGTAAAAAAAACCTTTATTTTTTCATGTAGAAGGACAGGTGTGTGAAGGAGGCAAATTGTCTGCTTATTCATGTTGTGACATTTCCCACAAGGGGCGTGCTTTCTCTCTCCTCTCACTTCCAGGAGGCCTCTTCTTCGCCAAGCCGATGCGCTCGCGGGGCTACGTGACGATGCTCGATCCCTTCCAGCTGCTCTACGGGAAACGCATGGGTGGCCTGCTCTTCCTGCCTGCGCTCTGCGGAGAGATCTTCTGGTCGGGCGCCATCCTGTCTGCTCTGGGTTCGACTCACATCTCACTAACTCCGTCATCTAGCTATGCCATCTCACTCCACACCAGCTCACGCCATCATCTCACTCACTCTACTATCTAGCTCTACCACCTCATTCCATCATCTAACTCCATCATCTCACTCCACGATTTTGTGGGACCGTGCAAGGAGGGACGCAACCTACATTTAGTTGATGCCGAATCCGAGAGGTAGATATGGTTGCCACCTGTCCAGGTTTGACCTGGCATCTGTGTACGTGGCAGGAGTTGATTAGTATTGAGATCTGTTACTGGTATTGTGATACACATTCTGAGAGGGAACCGTACAGTTTTAATGATACACCGGGTGCTGAATGCGTGCAAATTATTTCTAAGACGTGGTGTCTCTATGTACCACTGGTCTCAATTCAGTACAGAATTTGTCATCTGGCACATATATTAATCACAGTTTCAAAACAAATTTAATATATATGTATACAGCTGATCATCATTTATCAGGTGAGTGGTTATCCGGCTTCCACCATTATCTGGCGGTCCCGGGCCGATCCGGCAAAACCGGCAAACCCGCTCCAAATGCTGTAATGAGTCCGGCAATCATTAAACACACATGGTTGTTGAAACAAGAGTGTCGTAGTACTGCGAACATCACCCCTTGCGGAGTCTTCGAGATTGGAGTGGTAAGTACAGTACATTAAATAGAATAACTTTTTACGGTAGGATATTTATTTTTGTCTATTTGTATGTTTATTTATAGATACCAATTTTATATAGTATTTTTATATATATAAGTAGTGTATAACTCGGATACACTAACAGTCGGGTCAGGACAGCTAACAGGCTGCCTGACCAACAACGCCGACGAGGTGAAGACGGTGACGAGGACTCCAGCAGCACGACGGTTCCACTCCAAACAACAGCCTCGAACCCTTGCTCGGGGTCTTTCCTTTATACACCCAGCGTGGCCTCACTCCGCATTCGGCCACGCCCCCTTATAGAACTCACCAGAAGGTTCCTGGGCTTTACCATGCGTACTCCCTCTGCCCCCCTTGCCTCACGTCCCTCTCTCTGGCTCATCACATCCTGTTGGCAGACAGGGCTGCTACACCTCTGATCCCCTTCTGTGCCAGCAACCAGCGCTATGCGCCACAGTGACTCATTCCATGTCACTACACATACACACAACACCTAAATACATGTTGTGCAAGAATGTGCAAAAATAATAGCTTATTTTAAATAATGATTAGTGATTATCTGGCGTTTTTAAAAATCTGGCACACCCTATATATCCGATTGCTTATACATCGATTATACGAAATGTAATTGATGTATATATAATTATCGGTAAGAGTTAAATGCGTTCCTTGAAATGAGTAAGGTTATGAGAGCTTGGGTAAATAAATGACAGGAGGGCATTTCAATTGTGGAACAGTGTGAAAGAAGGGGCAGAAATATAATCGTTGTGATCTGCTGTGTGGTTCGTGGGTGGGTGGACGAGTCAGTGAGTGCGTTAGTGAGTGTGTTGTTGTGACTGGCAGCGCGACGAGTGGGTTGGGTGTGTTGCTGTGACCTGCAGTGTTCGCAGTTAAACGCAGGGTGGATGAGATTCAACAGTCACTGTCTGGTTTAGACCGAGTGCTCACCATGGGAGGAGATATCAACGAGTGAAATTAACGGGAACGCTAACCACTGTAGTAGCGATAGCAGAGTGAAAAGGTGACTGACCACTGGTGAGCAAGTGACTGGAGTGTACCCATATTTAACCAGACGCGGACCTGCTGATAGGCTGTGGAGTACCCATTGAGTCTCTGGTTGGACAGATTTTAGAGTAGTCTATAAACGTTCCCATTGTTTCAACCTTCCCACAGGGACGTGGAAAAGAACTAGCGACTTCTGGATTAACCCACTTTTTACTTCTGGGCTACTAGGAAACGTGCCCAATTATTCTCACTGCCGCGCTGGATAATCCGAATTGTAAGTCGAGTGTGTGGCGAACCATTAATAGCAGCTCCCTCCGTTTCTTCGTTAATGAGGTTACACATTTACGTGCATTTATAGAGATTGTGTGTGTGTGTGGCAAACCAGTAACTTGCTGTTGTGACACTCGCAGCCACGCTACCGTGCAGCAGTGTGTATATAAAATGTGAGTGTATTTATGTGAGTGTGTATTTACGTGCCTCAAATATTCGAATAAGTCACCCCCTGTGAGTAGCTGCTTAAGGTGCCATCTGTTGAGGAAGTACTGAAGGTGATCCAGAGTCTGAGACCAGGAAAGGCACCGGGCAGAGATGATCTCCCAAGCGAAATGCTGAGGGTGGCGTTTCTGCACAGACTGCTCTACATGACATCATAACAGTCTGGACCACTGGACGGGTTCCACAGGATTGGAAGGATGCCCTAGTGGACCCCCTCTTTAAGAAGGGGGACCGCACAGACTGTAACAACTACAGGGGCATCTCACTCCTCAGTGTGCCGGGAAAGGTCCTGGCAAGGATTATTCAACATTGCCTTGCTATGTACGCTGAGGAGAGGCTTGCGGAGCTCCAATGCGGTTTCAGGAAAGGGCGGTCTTGCACAGATGCCATATTTTCTGTCCGTCTGCTACAGCAGAGGTGTAGGGAATTCCAACAAGACCTACTGTACATCCCTGCTTTATTGACCTGGTCAAGGCCTATGATACCATCAGTAGGCCTGGGCTCTGAGTTGTTCTTCGTCCTTTCGGAGTCGCTGACCCTCTGCTCACGATCATTAAGGACCTTCATGATGGTGAGCGAGCCCGGGTAAAACTACGTGGCCGGGAGTCGGAGCCATTTCCTGTACACCTTGGGGTGTTACAGAGATGTCCTATGGCTCCCATATTATTTAACATCTAGTTCATGAAGCCTTCAATAGCTGTACCGGAGGAATTTCCATCTGGTACAGACATTGGGAGGCTGGTCGATGCCCGGGTGCGGTCAAGGGATGGCTCCCTATTGCTCAACCATGTTATGTATGCCCATGATCTGGTAATTGCTGCTCACTCAGAGAAGGAGTTGGAGGCGCTGCTGCTGAACCTGGAGCTTGCCACTAAGAGGTGTGGCATTTCCATCAACCCCACCAAAACTAAGCACCTGCATGGGTATTTTGTACCATCGGACACTCCACCTCCACAACTCCCAATTGGTGATAGGGCAGGTGTGGAGAGAGTGGAGAGTTTCCCATACCTGGGCAGTGTGCTCATGACCGGCTCTAGTTTAACAGCAGAGGTCTCACTCCGAATCAGTCGAGCGGAATTATCTTTTCATCGGTTGCATAACGCTGTGTGGAAGCTACCTAATCTGTCACTCCGCATGAAGCTTCAGGTCTTCTCGGTCACAGTCATTCCCTCCCTTCTCTGTGCTTGCGAAACGTGGACCCCCCTAATGGAACATCTTCGCCAGTTGGAAACATTTAGGCAGGCCTGCCTAGATCCATCCTGGGTTTAACCAGGCTGGATTGTGTGAGCTCACAAATTCTTGAAAAATCTGGTCAAAGTCCCATCGGTGAGCTCCTCCGGCAGGCAAGGCTGTGTTGGCTGGGTCATGTAGCCACGTGCCCAGCCACCGCATGCCTAAAAAGCTTTTGTTCGGCCGGATCGAGGGGGCTAAATGGGTGCGGGACGGGCTAGAGAAGAGATGGAGTGATGTCGTACAGGAGGATGTGGAGCTGAGTGGACTTGCCGATGACTGGTATCAGTGGTGCCAAAATCGGCCTCTGTGGAGGAGGCTCGTGAAGGACGCTATTGGGCAGTTGGAGGCAGTCGCCCTCCAACAACAACGGAGGGCAGAGGAGCGATGCTCACAACAACGAGCAGAGCGCCGGGTGGCTAAAGCTCTGCAAGTTGGCACAGTAGGGGGCACAGGTGTTGCATCAGCCAGTCATCTCAGTCAGTCGACCTGTGGCATCTGGGTCTACCCCGTGACCTGCCAGCAGGCGTTCGACACTTCACGTGGCCTCAACGTGCACATAGCCTGGCACAAGCATCGTGGTGACGTCACCGCTACTTAGTGGTGAATGTCGGTTGTTGTTGTTTACGTGTGTGAGAGTGTGTTTACCACTATCACTACTAACACTATCACTACCACCGCTATCACTACCACCACTATCGCTACCACCACTATCACTACTATCACTACTACCACTATCACTACTACCACCGCTATCACTACTACCACCACTATCACTACTACCACCAATTTAACCACTATCACTACCACCACTATTACGACCACCAATGTTACTACCACCACTATCACTACTATCACTACCACCACCGCTATCACTACTACCACCACTATCATTGTTCCCATGACCCTCATTGATTCCTGCATCCAAGTTGAGGATAAGGACTACCAGACTCACGGCTTCATCTCATCCACACTGTGATCAATCACAATTACAATCCAGGCCACAACAACACACTCATCCACTCACCACACTGCAGGTCACAACAACACACTCACTCACCACACTGCAGATCATCTCACTTCTCTCTCTCTGCGTCTTCTTTCACACGACTCAACTTGCCATCTCCTTCCGATCATCTCTTCACTAAAGTATCTTATAATATACTAGCTTTACTACCCGGTTTCGCCCGGGACTTGGATTCTTGTCTTGGATTAATTTCATATTCCCTTATATTTCACTGAAAAACCCTGAAAAATGTTGATGCTTGCAAGAAAGAATAAGCCGAAACAAATCAATTTAACTAAATCGGATGTTTTTCACTCATTTGTGCGGGATACACGGCCTACGCGGAGGGTGGGGGGATGCGTGACGTCAGCAGACACACTGCGTAACGCTGCCGCATGCGGGTGACATCACAGATGTGACGTCACCGCTCACTTGCCGTGCAATATATTATATCCATTATTCCCCCCCCCCCCAATACAAAAGTCTATTTTTATACTTTTACATTGTGTACCGTATGGAAGCTATCCACATGCCAAATTTCAAGTTTGTAGCATGTTGGGAAGTATGCTAAACATTTCGATCAGGCACACATATCCACAAATTCCCCTTTTATATATATAGGTATTTTTTCGTTATCAGGAAACGTGTTAAACTCTTTTACAAATGTTATTGCATGGTTTGTTGCTGGCTGCTTGACTTTTTTTTCTTGTGCGTTTGGGCCCGTGCTGAGCATCTGTTTTAAAATAACATAAAAAATGAACAAATATAAACAAAACAAAATAAAACATGAAACATAAAACCAGCCCTTGCCCGCATGTCCCCCTTAGGAGCGACGCTGAGCGTGATCGTGGACATCAACATCGACATGGCCGTGGTGGTATCGGCCTGCATTGCGGTGCTCTACACGCTTGTGGGAGGGCTCTACTCCGTGGCCTACACGGACGTCGTGCAGCTTATCTGCATCTTCCTGGGCCTGGTCAGGGTCCCGTCTCATCACAAAAAAGATAAAGATCCTTCGTATAGCCTTAACAGACTGTTGGGGCAAGTGCTGTTCGTGAGCGCCTATGAAGGCCGTCACGGTACACGAGGTGGCCAGCACAACGCCCGACTGCCTTTGTCTCCCCAGTGACGATGTTTATAAACCGCACGAGGTACTCATTTGAGGCTGAGTCGACCTAGGGGAGGCCCAGGATCGATTCAGATAATCGACACTGGTGTTGACCATAAGCAGGAATCGAACTCGGGTCGCTGGGTTCATAGCATACTGCGCTAACCGCTACGCCACCGCTAACACACGCACCCACGACCACCCCCAGGGTTGCTATCGATCCAGGTTGGACCAGAATAGTTCAAGAGTTGGCACATGTTCAAATAGCAGAGATTGATTTGTACTGATATCTGATAACCAGCACTAATTGTTTAACTTAATAAAACAAATATACACAGCTTTGTTAGACCGAGGCTGACTAATAGATGTCAGGGTTTGGTCTGTGTAGAAATATGGCAACCCCTACCACTTACCCACGCAGTCATCCAGACAGCCAAGAGGGTTGCCATCTGTTAAGGTTTGACTTGTACATTCGAAGAATTGGCATCTGTATGCCCAGGCCATTTTGTTTGACACAGAATCACTGACCCACGACGAGTGAGGAGCAGCTAATAATCAACCCAGTGATATAACAGCGTCGCTATAGAGCCTTTATGATGCACCTGTCAATTTAAAGCATTTGTTCTCACTATTCAAGCTTGAAAATCGTGTCAGACAGCCCAAGCCACGGCCAACATACATCATCCAAATGAGCCGTCTTTTTCGAGCTGCATCTTCCTTTAAGAAAGTGAAAAACACCACAGAGTGATGCTCCCGAGGGTAGCTCCAGAGGAGCAGACACATCATGGCCAGAAAAGACTTAAAACAGTTAAGGGAATAAGCACGCTGGAGAAATGCTTTTCCTTTATAACTGTTTTACAGTTTTCTTTAGAACAGTTTTTTGTGTTGAGTTTGTTGTCCTTCCCCCGCACCTCCTATTAGCACGGTTGACTACGTACGGTGAAAGATAAATTAAACATCCATACATACTGTAAATTGTCCACCACAGAGATGGAGCACGGAAATCACCACCTGTGCAAGAGGTGACTAATATTGCTGCATTGCAAGACCATGAAATAGGAAATACGAAAGTTTCTTTGTATTGCTCCACTTACAATATTGACCAGCAGTGCATTACATGATTAACTCTGATTTTAAGATGGCGATGGCTCAAGGTCTTTATTCAGCAGTGGATAGAGAATGGCTGATGATGACGTGCGTGTTTGCCATTGCAGGGTCTCAGCGTTCCGTTTGCCCTGATGAACCCGGCCGTGAGCAGCATCTCAGAAACGGCTCACGCGTCCGACACGCAGCCCGGCTGGTTGGGCAGCGTGGATCCGCGCGACGCCTTTATCTGGGTGGACAACTACCTCCTGCTCGTACGTTTGGCACGTCACAACCACAACAAATCGTCGAGAGGCGTTCGGTTGATGATGTGACTGGGCGGGTCCAGGGCAACCTCGCAGTGACCCTGACCAAAGGGTGCATTGTGAGATATGGAGATGGTTTAATCACCCAACTCCCCCGACAATATCGAGGATCCAAAAATAATCGAACAATATGCGAAATGTATTTGGAAATAACAATCGTCAATGTTCTCGCAACAATATTCTTCATACAAGAGGTTTTACAAGAAAGATATCCAACCCATAGAAATAGTACGTTCAGAGTGGATCATTTTTCTGTTTTTAGCTAACCGCTTTATCACACACCATCAGAGAGCAAATAATGCCACCACTGTTACATAGGGTATTTTTTTCTTCTTATATTAGGACATTCAGAGGAGTATGTTATTTTCCTTAATAGTCACGGTCTATTTTGTTCTTGCCACCCACCACCTTATTAGTTTTACACTGTGACACGTTCAACAGACACTGGCAGCCCATTCCAGATTAGACCTCTCTTCACGCGAGCTCGTCGCTCATCTTCCCATCGGTTTGTTCTCCATGGTGTCGGCTTGCATGCTCATTATAAAGATGGACTCAATCGCCTAGACTTACTTTGCTCGTTCTGATACCTCACCGCTTGTCCAACCAACACGGACCCTCATTGGTGTTCTGCCTCCGGACTCCTGAAAGGCTAAAATGAAAATATATATTATTATTTATTACACTACATATACTCATATTCACTTAATGCAACCTCAGATGTCAGTGTAATGCGATGAGACAATGTTTTGTCCAACTAATGCTTATTGCGTCCTTGCTTGACCAAGCACCCACGAAGGAATGTGTTCCTCTGCAACGCTGCATCTGCGTCAGCCCTCCGGCATAATGTGAACTCTGATTTTTAATTCCTGGTATTTCATTGAAAATGCTGTTCACCCCTCCCTCTCTGAGCATGGCTTAGGTACATTTTCCCCCTTATTGACTCAGCCCTTGTGATTTAACTTATCTTACAACTGGCAATAATGAGAGCAAAGGTGTGCGAGAGAAACGGAGATGTGGGGAGGTAGGTGGGTGAGATAACATGGAGAGAGGAGAGGAATAGAGAGGCAGAGGTATAAACGGGGATAGCAATATAGAAACATATAAACGGAGGCAGTGTGAGAAATGGAGATTAATTGAGATATAGAGTACCAAGAGAAAGGTGGAGACAGATTAGACGTTTTGCTGACTGGCTGGCTGGCGCAGAGAGACGGATATGATGGCCATTTCCAAAGGACTTGCGGATTGCCTACCTTTCATCATTTTACATCAAAATGTACTCACATTTCGTCACATTGCGATCTGACATTGTTGCTTTGATCTTTAATAGAGACAACCCATTGTAATGTGGAATTTCCATGGCTAGTTAGAGGCCTTGGCCAGGAATGAGCGCCAATTAATACCCATTTGATTATGGAGCCACTGACCTGTAGAGCAATTGCTGCGTGAATCAACGTTGGCAGCTGCGCTGCACGCGGTCTCTCATCTGGCTCTGCGGAGGTCAGCGAGGGTTGGTGGATTACACACTCACGAACCTCCCTCCCTACCCATGAGCATCCCTGGACCTCCCGACGAAAACTTTGCCCGTTACCAACTCGGCAGCGTTTTGAGATGCAAATTTGCACGAATGATGCAACATACAAATAAAACATTGTTTCATAAGTTTGCATGGTTGCAGTTTCCATCATCTACTGTATGTTTTTGCACTGCTTTTGATATCTCCTGTAATTTGTTTGTTTTTGCACTAATTTCTGTTTGGTTTTCTCTGCCCTGATTTGTTTTTTTGTTCTGATTTCTTGACTTGAAATCTTTAAACGTTTTCGCAGATGCTGGGCGGAATCCCATGGCAGGTTTACTTCCAGCGTGTTCTGTCCGCGTCGTCAGCTGCCTACGCACAGGTGCTGTCCTACCTGGCGGCCTTCGGCTGCCTTGTGATGGCTGTGCCCTGCATCATCATCGGCGCTGTGGGGGCCTCGACGAGTAAGCGTGGATTACCGTTTCTCTCAGTCTCTTCTGGCCTCATTAATCATCATCATTATCATGTAGGGTTGTCACCTTTCACATAGGAGACCAAACACACACACAGGGGCGATACAGTGGCGAGATGTTAACTCCCTTGCCTGGTATGCAGGAGGACATGGGTTCGATCCCGACACCTGCTGTATATGTGGAGTTTGCATGTTCTCTCTCCCTGTGGTCACGTGGATTTATCTCCGGGTCCTCTGGTTTTCCCCTCCACATTTAGATACATGCGTTTAGGGTATTTGGCTGCTATACATTTCCACTTGATAAGCCACTTTATTAAGCTATCATTTCTGGTCTGGTTGCTTCTGTAAAAGAGCTACATGGCTCAGTGGGCCTTGCCTAGCAAAATAAGAATAGTTTAGTTTTTAAACCCTGACAAATTTCTCAGCCAACCTAGGTCTATCAGCACCGTGCAGTAGTCTACCGTAATAACGTTCGACACAATATTTCCATATATAGTTACAAATAAATTCCTGTCGCCTGAAAAAAACGGATACCGATATCCAAACTGTCCTGGTCAAACCCAGACAGGTGGCAACCCCAACATTGTTATCATCAGACATCATTGGTAAACTATCCACCGTTGGATGGAAGTTGTCCCAAGCCGTTGCCATCTGTCATGGTATTGTGATGCAATATAACGTCGTTGATGCAAATTAGTGATCAAAAAAGCGGTAAAGGTTTGTCCAGCAAGGGAAGCCGCAGGCAAGCGGCAGTGAAGGAAAGCCAGAGTCGGAGCCAACAATGTCCCACGCTCTACGCTCTTACATTGGGATGTTTAGCGAACTCCAAGCTAAGCGCGGTTGCAAATAGACAGCGATTTACTCTACAGGTCTGATAACCGAATTATGGGGCAAATATTGCTATGTTAAGTGGGACATACAGTGAGGGAAAAAAGTATTTGATCCCCTGCTGATTTTGTACGTTTGCCCACTGACAAAGAAATTATCAGTCTATAATTTTTATGGTAGGTGTATTTGAACAGTGAGAGACAGAATAACAACAACAAAATCCAGAAAAACGCATGTCAAAAATGTTATGAATTGATTTGCATTTTTGACCCCTCTTGCAAAACATGACTTAGTACTTGGTGGCAAAACCCTTGTTGGCAATCACAGAGGTGAGACGTTTCTTGTAGTTGGCCACCAGGTTTGCACACATCTCAGGAGGGATTTTGTCCCACTCCTCTTTGCAGATCTTCTCCAAGTCATTAAGGTTTCGAGGCTGACGTTTGGCAACTCGAACCTTCAGCTCCCTCCACAGATTTTCTATGGGATAAGGGTCTGGAGAATGGCAAGGCTACTCCAGGATCTTAATGTGCTTCTTCTTGAGCCACTCCTTTGTTGCCTTGGCCGTGTGTTTTGGGTCATTGTCATGCTGGAATACCCATCCACAACCCATTTGCAATGCCCTGGCTGAGGGAAGGAGGTTCTCACCCAATATTTGACGGTACATGGCCCCGTCCATCGTCCCTTTGATTCGGTGAAGTTGTCCTGTCCCCTTAGCAGAAAAACACCCCCAAAGCATAATGTTTCCACCTCCATGTTTGACGGTGGGGATGGTGTTCTTGGGGTCATAGGCAGCATTCGTCCTCCTCCTCCAAACACAGCGAGTTGAGTTGATGCCAAAGAGCTCCATTTTGGTCTCATCTGACCACAACACTTTCACCCAGTTGTCCTATGAATCATTCAGATGTTAATCAACAAACTTCAGACGGGCATGTATATGTGCTTTCTTGAGCAGGGGGACCTTGCGGGTGCTGCAGGATTTCAGTCCTTCACGGCGTAGTATGTTACCAATTGTTTTCTTGGTGACTATGGTCCCAGTTGCCTTGAGATCATTGACAAGATCCTCCCGTGTAGTTCTGGGCTGATTCCTCAACGTTCTCATGATCATTGCAACTCCACGAGGTGAGATCTTGCATGGAGCCCCAGGCCTAGGGAGATTGACAGTTCTTTTGTGTTTCTTCTATTTGCGAATAATCGCACCAACTGTTGTCACCTTCTCACCAAGCTGCTTGGAAATAGTCGTGTAGCCCATTCCAGCCTTGTGTAGGTCTACAATCTTGTCCCAGACATCCTTGGAGAGCTCTTTGGTCTTGGTCATGGTGGAGAGTTTGGAATCTGATTGATTGATTGCTTCTGTGGACAGATGTCTTTCATACAGGTAACAAGCTGAGATTAGGAGCACTCCCTTTAAGAGTGTGCTCCTAATCTCAGCTCGTTACCTGTATAAAAGACACCTGGGAGCCAGAAATATTTCTGATTGAGAGGGGGTCAAATACTTATTTCCCTCATTAAAATGCAAATCAATTTATAACATTTTTGACATGTGTTTTTCGGAATTTTGTTGTTGTTATTCTGTCTCTCACTGTTCAAATAAACCTACCATTAAAATTATAGACTGATATTTTTTTCGTCAGTGGGCAAACGTACAAAATCAGCAGGGGATCAAATACTTTTTTCCCTGACTGTATACGGTGCAGGATGGATGAGGGTCTTAGAATCTAGTGACCAAGAGGAAGACCAAAGGATCAGATGGTGGGATACTGTTAGGTCAGATCAATGGGTCAGGTCTTTGTAAATACTCTATATAGGTCACTATGTAAGTCTATATAAGAGCAGATGGTGGGATACTATTATGGAAGATGTTGGAGGTGACGTGTCGACTGTGGGATCTAACGGAGGGTAGGAGGCATTGGCATTGAGGTATGGTTGTGGCATCGGTGCCTTTGGCCACAACGTCATCTTGATCTGGACCGATAACCGTGTGCCTTGCAGACTGGAACGAGACGAGCTACGGCCTGCCTGACCCCAAGGCTCGCAATGAGAGTGACATGATCCTGCCCATCGTGATGCAGCACCTGTGCCCCGAGTACATCTCCTTCTTTGGCCTGGGTGCCGTGGCGGCAGCCGTCATGTCCTCCGCCGATTCCTCCATCCTCTCTGCCTCCTCCATGTTCGCTCGCAACATCTACAAGTTGGCCGTGCGACAGCAGGTGCCAACATCGGTGGTAGTAGTAGTGGTGGTGGATCATAATAAGAGTGACAATAGTCATACGTGTGATCGATTGAGCTGCTCTCCTTCATGGCGGTGGCCATTTCTTATGCTTGACAAGCGACTTACACCAAATCCCATCTCAATGCACATGTGAAAGTGCACCCCCAGTGGCAGCTGTTACCACGTGACGCGAGATAACCCAGCACCTGGCCTGTGAACGGGCATTAGTTAGGCGGTAGGGGGGCGATGTTTGCTGTGCATAATCCCCATGGAATACAGAAAACCTCGCTGAATGCAGAGGTTTACGTTCCTGGAAAATGCCGTGTGGGGTAAAACCGCGTTTTACAAATAATAGGTCTTGTAACGTGTACATAAATTATCACACCCTCCCTCTTTGTTTAATTAATTATATATGATGTTGCCCCTACTTGGTATCAAATTAAAATAAAAAAACAGACAAATGATACATGTAAATATATCTTTTTTTTTATTAGAACATAAAATAAAATAAGTGAAACTGATTACATTTTTGTACTCACATGAATGATGGTGAAGATGATGTTGGTTGGGAGATGTTGGAAGGAGCTCAGAGGGTTGAGGAGCTCTCTGCATGGTCAGTTGGAAACCCTCTGGGAGCATTCAGGAAAGTGCCAAAGTACTGGGTACTGCTTTCACGTTTGCTTTATTTTTAATATCCGTGAAGGTGGCTAGCCTTCTCCCTTACCACTGCACTACTGAGAGGCACTTGTCTTTGTGTGTGGTCCTCCTCAATCTACACATCTAGAGCATTTTCCATTGTCTCTATCAGTGGATCACACCTGGCAACAAAGGACAGCACTGGCTGGGGTGCTGGCAGAAACACTGCCCCTTGTCCTCCGATTCCTTAAACATTCTCACAGTCGATTAATTCAAGCCGTAGTACGGGCTGTGTCTCACTTAACTAGGGAGATATGTTCTGTGGCAAGCGAAAACTCGTTCAACAATCGTCGTTTTCCCATTCACTCCCATGTTAGAAGCCGAGCTACGATCGGCCTCCAATCGATAAGCAAACATTTTGCTCGTTTTGCGGACAAACAGGTCTAAAGTCAAAACACGTTATAGGGAATTCTCGTAGAAAGTAAGTCCAGCAAGGGAGACACGCCTGTACCTTCTAACGGATGCAACACTCTCACCTCTTGCAAGCTTATCTCTAACTGCACTTTTTTCACTGAAGTCATAACTTTTCTCTGCTTTTACCGCTACAATCACCACCACCACTCAACTTACTCTCCGGGGCCATGAATAGAAAGTGATACCGCATGAGAGTGTTGAGGAGAGAAGATGATGACAAAATAATAATCTGTAGCATAGCTAAACTAAACTATTGACGAAAAAATAATAGATCATGACGTTACGATCACAACACAAGCAACCGTCATCAGGTGTGAAACAAACACAGCAGGAGGACTTCTGACGCAGGAGCTATGTCAGCAGGCCTCCTGCTGTGTTTGTGCTGACGTAGGAGCTACGTCAGCAGGACTCCTGTGTTTGTTTCACACCTGATGACAGTTGCTTGTGTTGCGATCGAAACATCGTGATCTATTCTTTTTTCTACCTACATGACTTTACCAAAAGAACCAAAGAGTATGGATTCCTGCAGTCACGAAAGCTTCGAATCAAGATTAAACTATTGAGCTATATGGCTTTCTTTCAGAAGTGGCCTGGCCACAATTGATAGCTCAACGAATCGGCTATCATGTGGAAATTTATAGTGAGTCAAATACTCGAAGCGCATGTTTCTAAATGTGGAGGGAAAAACCAGAGGAACTGGACAAAAATCCACGCATCGAGGGGGTTAATATCTCGCCAGTACAAGTGGATCGTGCACCACTTTTCAACGCGGAGATGAGAATCTCAGCGGTGTAAAACCACATGTTGCCGAAACATGACCCCCGTGTTCCGGAAAACACAGACCTCATTAGGTGAACCGTGGTTTTTGAATTGGGCAAATGTGGCCCATGACATCAGCACACAATGGCCTCACTCGTTTAGAATCCTTAACGTCCACTGTGAAGCAGACAGCACACATGTTTATCTCTGGGCCATGTAACCACCACTTTTTAATCCGGTGGTGTGGAGGTTCCAGTGCTCACCGCTCGTTGGGAGGGGTGGGGTGTCTCCTCCCACGTGGAGCTGGACATTCAACAATGGAATTGCCAAAGGTGACAATATACAGTAAGGTTACCAATGACTTACAAAGAGACCCATAGATTCACAGAGAAACACCGGATTCACACAAAGACCCGCAGGCACTCACAGACTCACACAAGGACCCAAACAAAGAATCTTGAGACTTAACATCAAATTCTAGACCGGGTTTGGCATTGGGTGTCTCATAATCAGTCAGGTTTACTTAAACTAATGCTGTTGTCTGCTAGATGTTTATAGACAAGGACCCTTTCTGTTCGCTCTATTATGGGTCAGAGTTCCCATTACCAGAAACCTGTGTAGCCAATAGAACGTGTAGAACTTTATTTTGTGGAGGGACTGCTATGGGAAAGAGGGGATGGGTATTGTTTGCTTTTTGAAAATACATTACTTCTTATATTCTCCACATTGACGCAAATCACGATTTTGTACTATATACAGAAAAAGGTTTGAAACCCATGGGATTGAAGTTGCACACAACTGTAATCACCACTGTCTTTTATTCCACAGGCCTCTGACACGGAGATCGTGTGGGTAATGCGCATCACCGTCTTCATCTTCGGTTTCGCGGCCACAGCCCTGGCCCTGCTCGCCAAATCCGTCTACGGCCTCTGGTATCTGAGCTCGGACCTGGTGTATGTCATCCTCTTTCCGCAACTAATCTGCGTGCTCTTCATCAAGGGCGCCAACACGTACGGTTCGATCACAGCCTATGTGGTGGGCCTGCTCTTCCGCATCAGCGGCGGGGAGCCCTATCTGCACCTCGACCCGCTAATATGTTACCCGGGCTGCTATATCACCGACTTTGGGCAGGGCCCCGTCACTGTGCAGCGATTCCCATTCAAGACGCTCTCCATGCTTGTGTCCTTCCACGTGAACATTGCCGTCTCCTACCTGGCCAAGTACCTGTTCGAGAAGGGGCACTTGTCGCCACGCTTTGACTTCCTCGATTGCGTCGTCGCCATGGACAGCCGCGAGACGCTGGAGAAGGCCACGCTGGTGCGGGGCGGCTCTGCCTACCCCATGGACTTGAGCGATGGGGCCGTGGGTCCAGCGGCGGCCGTGGCTGCGATGGCTGGAGGCGGAGGTGGCGGTGGCGGTGGCTTGCTCATGGCCGAGTTAGCGCCGGCTGTTCTGGCGAGCGTCGGGGGGGCGGTGCTGCTGCAGACGTCGGCGGCGGCGGGGAGCGGCAGTGGCGGCGGACGGGCCCGGTTTGCGAGGTCTCGCCGAGGCCCTGAGCTGGTGGCAGCGGCAGAGGCCGCAGCGAATGACAGCAGTAGCAGCGACGGCAGCAGTGGAGGAGGGGGGGTGCTGAGTTCTGCATCATCTCCTGAGGAGATCTCCCACGGCGTGCCGCGCTGAGGTCTCGTGAGGGCCCAAACGTGAATGAAAAAGTGATGAGATGGCGGTGGTGGGGCAGAGCAGACCGGTAGAAGGTGGAGCACAATAGTCAACCACATTCTAGCCCTAACCAACAACCCAACCTGGCCTAGGCCTAACCCTGACCCTGGTGTCCACACGTTTTGTTATTTTTTTTCATGTTTGGTCTTTTACAGAATGGGTCCTCCACAGCCTCCTCTTCTTCAACAATCGAGAACACCCAAATATATCATTCACCCTTCGAGCAATCGCGTGTAACCGTCTTGTTGAGCGTGCGTCTCCGCACATTTAAAACATATTTTTCATTTGGCAACAGGTTTCCTGGCATTTAATACCATCTCGGAATGGTCTGCACATGTTTAATGCTCAGTAACGTCATCAAGTGCTGCTTCTATAAACGCTCTTTCGTCTCTAGACATAGCACCCTCGTTACTAACTGCGAGGTCCGTCTAGTTTCACATCCTACTCAGTCTAGACAGCCTTCCATCTTCAGTCACTGCTGCTTGCCCTTCCAGGTCAGGACTTCCAAGAGACTACAAATCTCCAAATTTCGACTAAAAACGTAACTGCTTAAATGTCTCGCTGTAGTTATTTTCAAACGTCTTTCTCACTTCCTCTTTCTTTGGTTGATGTTAACTATTTTCACCTTTCCATGCATAGTGCCCTGAGAAAGATTGTTTTAAGAGCGCTTTATAAATGTAAATTATTAGAAATTTTAAATGCTTAATGCAAACTGTCCACCTCAATGGTAAACGATGCTTAATATTTCAAAGTAAAACCTGTTCTTAAAACACGACTAGGAAAGTATCTCGATTGAGTACAGTCCATGTTTATGTTCATCTGATAATCGCATAACGCACAGAAACGTATGCGGAAAAAAAATGCCCCTATTAATGGACTTCGCAACAAGATAAAGAGCTCTTGCCGAGTAGCAACGCAATGGGTGCGTAATGATCCACCTGAACTGCCCTCCCTCACGTCCGCCAGCAAGTTTATGAAATTGGCAAACTTTGGCATCCCGATTCACGAATCTACAATTTTTATTTAGTTTTTTCAAATGCTTCTTATTTGTATTTTTTTCTCTCGAAATGTTTCGGTAAAATTTCGTACTACTTAACCTACTAAAATAACGTAATATGTTTCACGAACCAAATATTGGCACGTGCATAAACGCCCATTGAATGAAGTTGGCCAAACTTCCCAATATAGGATGGTAAAGCTTGGGCAATTGCATGTGCACCGTTTCCGGCATCCTTCCCAAGTGCTTGGCCGCGTTTTTTTTTCCCTGTGCCTACATGCGAACAAAAATCTGTGCACGTTACAATATCTACAGCAGAGTATGACCTGCAATTTGCGCTGAATAGTGCCGCTGTGTAAAAATAAGACATTCTTGTTATACGTATACACTTTGTAAATAATTTATTCTCTACACAAAGTGATACACCGATCAAAAGCCTTAGAGTATATGTTAATTGATGAACCAATGCATTGAGTTGAAAGCATCTTCATAATCAGAATCAACCATGATCAATCCACAGTTGGGTGAAGGTCTCACAATGCCGGTGGCATCTTTCACGATCCTGTGATGATGCAACGAGCCATCAGCATCCACACATTAAATATTTGTATCGCTCCATCTCCTTGGTGGTGCTCTCAGATTCATGCCATTCCTGGGCTGCCACTCCATTATTAGTCTTGACAATGGTTCACCGTTACGTGTCCTGCCCAAGCCCGCTCATTTTTATTCACGGTGTAGATGTTGTCATTAACCTGTGTTCTAATGTTCTTGTGCTCCTCTTGCTGTCTCTCAATGCAATTCCTCGCAAGCAACTCTCTGTACGTCTTTGCATACTTTTAACATTTTTGTTTCTTATTTTTTGTGACTGACCACAGAGTTTCCGAACCGTGCGTCAGAGCAGAGTGGCACTCACCGATTAAGCTTCATGGAACATAAACATTTAATCTCGAATTGCAGTCAGGCTTGCCGTTATAGAACTCTATGGGTGACACTTAAGTATAAACAATGAGTGCCGGTGTTGTGCCTGAACGTGACTTTAAATTGCGGGACGCCCAGTTGAGGTATATACAGTATCTACAAGACAAGAGCTCTTTGTGTTTCGTGTCTTGTCTTCCTGTACCTACGCACTAGTACATATATACACACAGCTCTGTGTAAAGTAGTGACATTTGTCTTCGCCTTCCCATGCCTCTTGGGAAGATTATAGTCTCGTAGCTCTGGCCACTTACGTGATGTGTGTTGGTGTTGGTCGTTATACTGTGAAATTAATCGCATCGGAAACGATCCGTCATCCGTGTTGTCTTATCAAAACCGCAACGTGGACTTTTGCACCAAAAAAATATGAACACCTCGGAATACCACCCGTCCAGTTGTCTCACACACCCTGAACATTCTGGGAATTGGGGTTTGTATTCGGGTCGTGCAGGAACCGACTTGTATGAAGACCTGGTACAAGTTTTGCTGTGTTGCACTTTATTAAAAGTAACCTGCACAGTTCTGAGAAAAGGCCCGAGTGCTGACTGAGAGAATATGTATAGGTATGGTCTGTGATGGAATAGGTGACAGCCAAAGGTCCACCGGGTGATACAAGCATAATTTTGTCAAGTAATTGTTTTCATGTTTTCAAGTGCATAATAGAGGTTTTTGGATTAGATCACGTGTCGTTAAACCCGCCACCACCCGACATAGCCAATTAGTAAGGTTGATCACGTAAACAAAATACGATAATTAGTTCCTAGTTCAGTACACCGGTTTGTTGGAGAATAAACCCACAACATTTACAATTTGTGTACAGCATTTCGCCGGTAATTACAACCAACCTCATCAGGCGACAGCCAGTTGTGGATAAATACTCCTGTTTCGGTCTTAAATAGTGAGATAAATGTGATGTCATCACTTGGATCCAATCAGGTGCGAAGACCGGGGGGGGGGGGGGGGTTAACGTATTAATATGAATTACTATTATTGGTTGTGTTACTACCAACGAAACTTGACTGGTACTGTAATTGTAAGTGTTGTGGGTTTACTCTCCAACACTGGTGTGCTGCAGTAGTAACGAAGTAGCATGTTTTGTTTACCTGACAAATCTTATTCATTGGTTGTGTCGAGTGGTGGGAGGTTTAACGACACATTTATATTTACCCAATATAACCAAAACACCTATGGATTTTGGGAGCGAAAGCCTACGTGTTATGAAATGGTTTACACGTTCATTAAGCGAATAATTATTGGACATCCTCAGCTTACATTAATGACTTTGTGCTATATGTCTCATAGCTTCCATCATGACCGCTTATATTTTATTTACACAGTGACTGTATTTTTATGGACTCCGAGGACCGGGGCGTTAGAAAATCAAGGATAAACTATTATCCTGCCTTAGATAGTGCTGATGGGGTAAATACCTTGGAGGGTGTGGGAGTGTAGCGTGTCTAGAAATAATCATGAGCGTCGCTGTGGAGATTAAAAGTAACACAATGCATATGCAAATAATGCACCTCCTTCGAGAAGCTGTCCCTGCACATGAAAAAAAATAAAATTGCCGATGAAACACTGTCAAAACCGGTCCCGAGTTTGCTTGTGTTGAGCCGATGCTGCTGAAGTGATGTGCTCCCCAGCAGGTTAATTATAGACACGGGGAGGGCGCGCATTGCCCACTTCGTTATGTCTTACAACATGAAATCTTCATGGTTCAAGGCATTGGTTCAACACAAGCAAAATCTCCACCGGTTACGACATTCGGTGTCTTATCAGCAGGGTCAGGATTGCTTGCACAAATGTATGTACGTGAACTGCTTTCGCACTGTACGTAGACAACCGTGCTAATTGGAGGTGCGGGGAAGGACAACAAACTAAACACAAAAATCAGTTCTAGAGAAATGCGCTTTCAATCTAGTTGATTTAAAAGTACACCGCTACAGTGGCTTCTTATATCGGAAGAGCGTCCCAGACAGCCGCAGAAGCTCATCTGAAAGCGCGCGATGCGGTGACCGTCTGTGATGGGACTGCTTGATGAACTGTCAGGTTATTCTAGGCGGGGGCCATCTTTGTTAGATGTGGGTCCTTGTTCTGGTTCAAAACGCGATAATGCACAACACATTTTAATAAGCGTCGTTGTGGAGAATGTAAGCCACAAAATAAATAATGAGACCATGCTGTAGTAGCGATGGGAAGGGGCAGGGTGAGTGTTTGAATGCCGTCACACTCGAGTTACTGCTTCTTAATTGCGAGCGGCTGCACCTCGTGGCAGCCTGGGCCCAGTGCCCCCGGGCACGCGCTGATTGAGCCGCCGCCTCGCGTGGGGAGATCGCTTTCGGGGGATGACGTCGAGTGGTGAACGGTGGTGGTTGTGAACGGCCGTAAAACAGTGGGGTTGGTGGATCATGCTGGTATGATGGTGATAACGGTGACAGCATTGATGGTGGTGGAAATATTTGTGGTCGTGGTGTTGACGAAATTGACAATGAAGATGGTGATCAAAATGGTGGCCGTGATAAATTCGCATCAAAACGGTGGTGTAAACAATGGTGATGATAGCGATAGTGATGATTGTGCTGGTAATCGTGATGGTGATTGTGATTATGATGGTGGCCGTGGTGACAATAACGGGGATGATAGTAATGATTGTGATGGTGGTGGTTGGGATGATGATAATTATCAGAAAATGGCAGATGACTAGGCAGTACTCAAAGTAGGTTCTCTAAATTTGAGAATTCTCAAACATGCAAAATAACTTTCAAACAATATTTAACGCCGATCGAGTAGAATCCCTAGAATCCGCGATGCTTACCTTGGTACATTTTTCCAAATATATATTTTTTTGTTAATTCTATATCGACAATTGTAAAAAAAAAATTCCCCATGACAGGAGCAGTCTACCTATGCAACAAGCAACATTAGCGTGTTGACTTACAATATAGTACCCTCTTCTTGGTTCTTTCGGTAAAGTCACGCAGAATGAGAATAAAACAAAACAAAATAAGACAATACAATTCTCACGACGTTTCGGCCACAACACAAGTAGCCTTCTTCAGGTGAAGGAACAGAACTGTCGGGACGACAGCGCTTCAATGAACGCTGCTAAGATTCTCAGAGTCTTTTAAGCTAGGTGGGAGAAGTAAAGCGCCTTGACAAAGGAGTTTACATATCAAACAGGAGAATTTAGCATTGAAATAGCTGTGTTAAAGTGTTGGATCAGCAGGGTGCTAAAGTCAGAAATTAGCATGTAACTGGGAGATTAGCATGATGTTAATGTGAGGGATTAGCATGTGACTGGTCACGTAAATAGCTATGTTAAAGTCAAAGTTTACATATCAACAGAGGCATTTAGTATATGGACGCTAAAATACTGCAACCACCCAACTATCATACAACAAATCGATGTGAAAAAACTAAGTATAAACTACATCAATATAATAAATGTACTCAATATATTCTTCAATGAGTTGAGCTATAAACATAAAGTAACTGGGTATACACTATACTATATAATGAATACCATATAGTAAACTAATAAAACACTAAAATATAAACTACATCAATGTTATCAGTAAACTCTATATACTCTCCAAACAGCTGAGTGCTTCAATGAACGCTGCTAGGATTCGCAGCGTCTTTTAGGCTAGGTGGGAGAGGTAAAGCGCCTTGACAAAGGAGTTTACATATCAAACAGGAGAATTTAGCATTGAAATAGCTGTGTTAAAGTGTTGGATCAGCAGGGTGTTAAGGTCAGAAATTAGCATGTAACTGGGAGATTAGCATGATGTTAATGTGAGGGATTAGCATGTGACTGGTCACGGAACTTATTGAAGAATATAGAGTACATTTATTATATTGATGTAGTTTATACTTAGTTTTTTCACATCGGTTTATTGTATGATAGTTGAGTAGTTGCAGTCCTTTAGCATCCATATACTAAATGCCTCTGTTGATGTGTAAACTTTTACTTTAACATAGCTATTTCCGTGACCAGTCACATGCTAATCCCTCACATTAACAGCATGCTAATCTCCCAGTTACATGCTAATTTCTGACTTTAGCACCCTGCTGATACAACACTTTAACACAGCTATTTCAATGCTAAATTCTCCTGTTTGATATGTAAACTCCTTTGTCAAGGCGCTTTACTTCTCCCACCTAGCTTAAAAGACTCTGAGAATCTTAGCAGCGTTCATTGAAGCGCTGTCGTCCCGACAGTTCTGTTCCTTCACCTGAAGAAGGCTACTTGTGTTGTGGCCGAAACGTCGTGGGAATTTTATTGTCTTATTTTGTTTTATTGTTTTATTCTCATTCTGCGTGACTTTACCGAAAGAACCAAGAAGATAAATCCTTGCAGTCACGAAAGCTTTAAATCGAAATATAGTACCCTATTTATAAACTCCCAAAGAGTTATGATGGGCTGAGTTCAATGCACAGGTATCTGTCTCCTTACTAACATACCGGTCCTCTTGCTCAAAGTCGAGCCCCTTGCCATGACGTCGACACCCTCCACTGACTCAGGGCCAGAAATAGAGACAAGCACAGGCTTCATTGCTCAAATAAGCAGACACCTCCTGCTGTGACGTCGCCACAGCTGTTGCCGACAGCAAATGACGTTAGCAAGGTTGTTGCCGGCAACAATGACGTCACCACGGTTGTTGCTTACAGCTATGACTTCACCACGGTTGTTGCCGACAGCAATGAGGTCACCACAGTTGCTGATAGCAACAGCCACCGTTCACACGAAGTGGCGGTGACGTCACCACGGGGCTTGTGGCATGCTCGGTGCACTTTGAGGCGGCTGACACACCCACGTGTAACGCGTATCCAAGCACAACAGAAGAATGGATAGCCAGCTGCCACAGTGGTGTAATATTAGGGCAGCACACTTGATTTGCAACTGAATTCTCGCCGGTTCGATTCCATATCCAGGCGTGGCAGCTGAAGCAATCAACAGCATAAAGAGTTATGTCACGCGTGACGGGGTAAAGTATGAGCATGCCTTGCTCTTCCAAGACGGCTGATCAGCATGGAAGAGTAGACCAAAACACCACTGTCGAGTTCCCGCTCGTAGTAGAGGCCCTTCCGTCAGCAATGGCAAGGCTGTGCCTGTACTGAGAAACTAAAGGCACTCTGTGCATCCATTACAAACATCCCACTGGGAACGGTTGCCGGTTTACATCGGTTCTCGTTGAACAACCCCGCTATGTGCAAAAGCACCAATCATCGAGGAGCCCTATCGCCCTTGGCTGTGTTACTTTGTAAGCGCGACGGAATCTCGTCTTCAATCTGCCCCTCCTGCATCACTCTCGAGTCTATTGTCCTCGTGATAATGGGTGCCGTGGTTTCCCTGAGGCGCGATCCATAGACGTGTGCGTGACTCGAGTTTTGAGGCACAAGTCTTGAACAGTTTGGAGAAGTCTACAATCATCATTTATCACTCGACATTCCTACAGATCGTGCCTGCCAATCCGCACTAATTTTGCCAAGCTACCATCAATTGGTAGCCACTGTAATCTGCGAGCTCGGATTTCTGGCTTTCTAACTGATTGGCCGAGATATGCGGGAGTTCATGGCGGCTATCTAATACCTTCACCATGAACTATAAACAGCACACATTCGGCCGAAGTTGGAATCATGTTACCGTTGTCATATCTGGGGGTCTATCACCGAATGTATACCTCGCTGCAGGTGGCAGAAGTTAAAGAGTACAGCAGGAGTCAGGATTATGTATGACCCAGCACTTATTGATTCGCTCCAGTCACTCGCTGACTCAGAGGTGGTAAATCACCTCCTCCGCTATCACTATTACTGTGGTTACCGTCTCCGGAAACGTCATTCATTGACTCCTCCATGTTGAGGACTCGGCCTACCAGACTAATCGTCTCATCTGCACTGTATTCATCCACCTCCACACTGCGGGTCACAACAACACACTCATCACACTGCAGGTCACAACAACACACTCACCCAATCACTCACTACACTGCAGATCACACCAACACACTCATCCACCCACTCTCCACAATGCAGGTCACAACAACACACTCACCAAATCACTCACCACACTGATGGTCACAACAACACAATCACCCACTCACTCACTCGATCACTCACCACACCGTAGGTCACAGCAACATACTCACGCAATCACCAAACTAATCACCCACTCATCAAATTGCAGGTCACCTCACTTCTCATTCTGCTTCTCCCCACACACTGCTCCACTGTGGAATATTTCCCGAACTTTTCTAATAACGAGCCTCATATAATCACTCATAGCTAACCTTGCTCAATTCAAGAATCGTGCCACACTATCATTTATTACGTTGATATTGCTGTTGCTGGCCACGTGACGTTTTGGTCCTGTGTTTAACAACTGTATTCACATTATATACACGGTTTTGCGTAGGCGATGTGTGTCAAAATTATGAACTGTGCTTCATTAGCTTGGAGAGTGTTGTCTTTGGTTCCAGTAAATATAAGTACATACGTCGATGCGTTTGTGTCTTATGTTTTTGCTTGTACGGGTTCCCTCCAGTTGTGGAACTAACCACTTAGGATTTCCCATAGAGCAATGGTTCTGTGATGCCACAGCAGCGATGCCGATCTGTCGGCGCCGCGCCTGCGATGCCACCACAGCAAGGCAGCCTGGACGACGCTGCTTCTCCTTCACCACCCCCCACATGAGAACACACACACATACACACCGACGTAGGACTTCGTGGGGACGTCACCTGGCCTCCAGGTTTTCACCCAGGAGCCCTCCTCGTGGGAACATCCTCCACGGTTTCCTGGGGCCAGGGAATTGGCCGACTTCCCCCAGGTTGAATTACACTGCGGCACCGTGAATTGACGTGCAATTGCATGGTCACGACGAGGCTACTATGCCACCGCGGTTAGGACACACACAGTGCAGTAGGTAGAGGGGGGACGGGGCCACGCACGCTGGGCGCGGGCACCTAGGAAGCAAGATCAGCCAGGTAAGAGTTTGATTGGCAGGGCAAGTGTGCTCGTACGCCCCGGACAATACAACAGCCCAGCGGCGGCCCCTTTGTTTGGTAAAGAGGGATGTGGACGGTGCTGAGAGCACCAATGCGGAGCATCAATCCGATTGGCCGTGAGGGCCGCCGAATCAGCCGAGGGGGGTTCCTTTGATGTAGATAGAATATAATGGGAGAGGAAAGCACGATGGTCAGTTCGTGTTCTCCTCAAGCCAGCGATCGGGGCCGTCGACTTCCCAGCCACTCGAACGTCCGTGTGACGAGTCGAAGTACAGCGAGGATCCACCCCAGCAGCTCCGTACGAGTCGATCCGTGAGTCCCCAAGAGTGAGATATTGAGACCAGTGTGAGAATTCCTAAAGAGAGCAATTCGAAATAGGCGGGACAGATTGGGTCTTAGATCGTCAGGAATAGGTTAGTTATTCTACGTAATGTTTAGCCTCGGACTCGCCGAGAATAAACTGTTCATGATCAATAACCTTGTCGTGTGGTTTCTGCAAG